CGTCCCCGCCCGGGTTGGACTCCAGCCACTCCAGTAGCTTCTGGAACATCACCTCGTTGGGCACGGCCATCGAACCGAGCGAGTCGGGCCCGCCGTCGTCTTCCAGCGCCATCTCCTCGCGACTCTCCTTGCGGAACTGGATGCTATGCCGTTTCCACAGGTCCTTCAGCTGCTGCACCGTCTTGTGGCAGTGGGGGAAGCGCTGGTTGAACTGGCTAGAGATAGACGCCCAGACGCGGCGCTTGTTGTAGACGGCGCGGTCGTCGATGCGCGTGTCCGTCACCACCGCCCAGCTCTCCATCACCTGCGACAGCAAGAACGTCCGCATCGACGATGTGAACTTCTCCGGCTGCCGGCGCGGCTGCGCGCGGACAAAGTCCTTGAACTGCTCATCTGCGTCGCTCGACTCCATCACCGCCGCCCGGCGCGACGCGCACGTTCTGGCCGGCGGCCGGCGCGCGCGCGGCGCCCGCCGCCGGAGCCGGACGCCCGCCCCGGGCGATAGGCCCTGTCCGACCGTGTCTCGGCAGCGCTGCTGTCTCGCGCCGTGCCATTGGTAGCCGCGATGAGTGCGGCGTGCCGATTGGCTGCGCTGGTGAAAGGTGCCGCGGGCGCCGGGCGCCCGTTGGAGGCCGCGCGCGGGAGCGGCCGGGCGGGGGCTACGCGCCGGTGGCCGGAGGCGCGACAAAAACACTGGCGGCGGCGCTGGTCGGGCCCGCCGCCGACTCGGCCCCACGTGACCTTGGGGGAGCCGCCTGGCTGTCGGCGCTGAGGCAGTCGCGAGTAGACGCCGGGATCAGCGCTCGCTGTTACGACAGTTTGACCTTTTGGCCAGCTCATTTCTAACACGCTGATAGTGCTCAGGACATTCCACCTCCTGAAAATATGTTTAGTTGAACATATCGCAGCTGCAGCGCATACGCGTGATTCGGTCTGCTGTGAAAGTCTCGTGCGGAAAGGACTGATACACCACGAGGAACCAAAGATTACCCACAGGCAAACGGCTGTTTGTTCTGACCCTAGCAGCCACAGCTCGTGATTACGAGCCGTGGATTCGTCGCGTTAATACAATGCATAAGAAAGTCCATCACTGGCGTTTTCGCTGGCATGGTAGCTTTGTGATGACTTCGAAATTCTTTGGCCGTCGCTAGGCTACCGCTGTCCTCCCGAAGCAACGACTGACGAGGAACAGTATGCGGTTGTCCGGACAAATTTTGGCGAGCTACACAAACACACATGCGTAAGAAAATGAAGACAAAGATACCGTTTTCCGGCACCTGGCGCGGGCAGAAAGCACGTGACAGTTCTCAGTAGCACTTGTGGCATTGCAACGTTTCCAATTACCGGGAAGCATTATTAGCGTCCAGCTTGTTACTGATATCCTGGAAGCAAAAGTGAACTAAGTTTTGTTCAATATGCGGGTTAACAAATCATCAGCAAAGAATTAGTCTGCGGGCTCCATTTGTAACGTTTCTGAGGCGCATCAAACCTGTACACGCGCGCCCTCTAAATGTGCTCATGGTCTTATCTCCATGCTGAGCAGATGCATGGGACCAGTGGCGTCACTTTGTACACTATTGGGCGGGGTGGTGGGGATGAGCCTATCTCATACTGACTTGAGCCCCCGATGCATATGGGCAAAAAAGGAATATGGGTCTATGAAATGTAGCGAATGTCTCTGAACTGCGGGCACACTAAGCACCTAATCACATTACCATCAATATCACGCTCATTTTGCACCTGACAGTATTGTGTAGCTACCTAGTGTTTTTATGATGCCAACTCCCCCGTATGAGCCCGTGCCGTGTGCGGTGTCACCCCGTCCTGCTGGAGCCCCTCCCCGTCCCGATCAACCCCGTGAGGTCGCTCCAGGGTCGCTTATAGGGATATGTGAGCGGTAGCGATGTAGCGCACGGGGGTGATACTGACCGGATCCTCGTTCTCGTCATAAAAGCATCTTTTATAGAGTAACAAATCTTACGAATGTGAATCACTGAGAATGGGATTTTTTTATTGAACTTTGTCATGGAATAGTTAGTTGAACGACCCACGGTCTTGGCTGTGCAAAAAATACACTTACCACTGCGGAGTAAAGCGTAGGTTAACTCTTATCTGGGCCACTCGATATACATATGAGATTCAGGTAGAGACAGTCTGGGTAATTTTTGCAATTGTTTGCGAAAATGGCACTATTAAACTGTTGAACCGTGATTTTACGACAAAATCGGAGCCCATGCGGTGTTCTGTGCATCTGTTTGCAGGGAAGATCAGTGATATTTTAGCACTATCACGCTCTCAAAACTGGGGATCATAACACACACACAACGCTCTCCGCATCTGTGACATAAGCACCGTTTCTTTTAGCATCATTGGTGTTTGCCGAAGTTGAATGCATTTTGGTAGACGCGGCCGTGTTTTTTAAAAGGTTTAGTCTAAACCTCTTGATTGGATGCGTTTCTGGGTTGAGGGCTTATGCTAAGTATCGTTTGCTGCGTTAGCCCTATCCCCCCCCCCCCCCCCCCCACCGCCATCCGGTCAGAAAATTCCGTGTCAACGGCATAATTTTTCGGCGAAGGATTAACGTGTCGGAATATTACGGATACCTGAGACGACTCAAACACATCCCGCTGTTGCTGCGCGAATCGAGAGGGGCTCTAACCAACTAAGCTGTCAGACAAGCTATGGTGCATTTCGGACGGGACGGGTTATAGTGCATTTCGGCGACATGCCACACAACTTCCATCTAGTTGTATCAAAATGATATTTTCGAGGAATGCACTTATCACGTTATGACTGGTGTGCTTCAGAGCAAAAGAAATACTGGCGTGGCGTTAGCCATTTTTTTTTCTGAGGAAATCTGACCATTCCAAACTTTGGGTTTTCTCAATTTAACGAATGTTTTATTCATAAAGTCGTGGCAAATTGAAGACTTCCAGAACGAGGTAATCCTCATGGTAAACTGAATGTCGATTAACTTAATGTTAGAGCTGTGGTGTCCCCGTACACGCTGCTCCCTAGCATTGCCCTAGATCTGCCCTTGACGGCTCCCGCGCGCGTAGGAGCCGACGCGTAAGGAGAGGGTCGGCTGATGGCTGCCGCGCGGGTCGTGTGCGCGCGTAATCACACATCAGGGTACGTTCTCGAATACGTATCCAGACCTGACTCCTGAGTGTCAGCGGCGCAGCCGCGGTGACGGAAGACTTGTCATTGAAGACTCAGACAGAATTTGTCATTGAAGAGGACAGAATAAAAAATTATTAATTAAATAACAGAACGTTATTGAAGAGGACAGAATAAAAAATGCCAACACATAACCCCGAAGCAGCAGGAGTTAAAGGCCTTTCATGCTTATACAAGTTCCAACGCGCGTCAAAGCATTGGTTGCGCTTTTTTCAAACTCTGATGATTTTATTGTCACCAGCCTTTGCTTTTACCTTTTATGCCCTGATTATTCAAGTGTCCGTTGAAAATGTGGTGCGGCCCATTTAATTTTTATATGGGCACATCTTGACCGAGCACACACAGTTCTTACAACCTCTGGTTTATTGTTTCAGGTCACGCTTTCCTACATGTAACCGTCTGCTTTGGGCCTCGAGCCACCCTTGGAAGGACATAATGTTTTGTTGATCGTAGCCCGTCGATTTATAAGACTTCTTCCTAAAATTACAGCTCATTCTAAGCCTCTTAACAAAACACGTCAGCTTCAGATGAGAAGTCGCTAACCAACACTAGAGCAGTTTTGAAATTTTACTAGATGTTCGATACAGTTTTTCAATTGGGCATCGGGGACGTGAATTAAAGTGGCCGAAATCTGGCTCAGGTACCCGCCCCTTTCCTCTTCGCAACGTCTCTGGGCACTTTCCCAGTCTTACCAACAACGGTAACGTGAATTATGTTCCGGATCATGGGCAACAATAATCGACATCATTACATCCATAGATCCCTAGCACCGTATTTCTTCTGCTCAGTGACCGACTACAGCGATAAGAGGCCACGGCTATGAGCAGTTACAATCCTGAGACGGCAATAACCATGCAAAACATAGCTGAGCGAGAACGGAAGCGCTTTTTTACCAGCGTAAACTTCCCTTGTATGCCGTGGTGCTGTTTTTTTCTTCAAATGGGTGTACTCATTAATCAATCATAATTAGTACTAGCATAAAACCATTGCTAAAGCCCAGCGCAATCCACTGGCATCCCATTTAAGGAGGAGTCCACATTTGTGTGGGGATTTGAACTAAAATAGCCATCCGAGATTATTCTGTGCAGCTCACAGCCCTGCCTTTCTGAAGACCTAACCCCTCCAGTTGCTGGGCTTAATACCCGGGGAGATGTGCAAACTATTTCGGAGACTATTTCAAGGACCCAAGCATCCATGACGTCATAATAACGTCGGATTAGATTATCGAGTTGTTCATATGTGGCATCCGCGAGCACAACATACAGATATAACGGCCGTCAGTTGGCTCTCAATCACTGTTGTGCAAGGGACGATGGCGTAATCAAACAATGACGTATCGAAAATCATAGTTAATAAACAGAGATATTGCGCGTCTAGAGCAGTCTTCTCCATTAAAAAGTATATCAATAGTGTTAAGTTAATTTATTGCATCACATCTGATGCTTACTTCAATATCTCCAACTATGGAGCATTCCTGTACCGCAAAGGCGCCCTGCCCCCTCCCCAGCACGCATCACGTGACGCGGTGGCGTGTGCCAAAGTACGACGCTCGTAAATGCATCCCTCGCAAGGCTTTATACGTTCACTTTGGGAACAGTTTTAAACTAACAGCATTCTAAACAGACGACCGCTTTAATAATGACGCCTTTTGCGCCGTTCTATCTCCAAACGTACGCTCTCCAAAAGCCACCCATCTTAAGGCAGGCGTCATATGACGATTCCCCCTCTGTCCGTAGGTTTGCGTTCCGTTAGTCCATGTGTAGGCACGTGCCAGTACACACCGTGCCTGCACATGTGTACACCCTGCCGCAAGGACAAGCATATGTGCATAACGATATATTACCAGAAAGCATGCCCACATGTGTACAGCTTTTTGAAGACAGTGCATATGTTACAACCAATGACATGCCAGAACTCTTCGTTCCGCCAACGACCAGGTAAGCAGACTCAGTGCCTCTATGGCACTTCCACAGGCACATACAACAAACATTTCACGGTGTAGCGCTGTCCCGTTTTAACGATTTATCAATATGCCACACAATGGACCGCACACAAGCCCTAACCGACCGGCTAATATTCTCAGGCAGGGACCTCATGGACTGTTCAGTGAGGGCATGTCACCAGCGCAGACGGAGCGGGCGCGGGCAGGCACCAATTCGCCGCCAATGCCCCACAGTCCATCTCGCTACAACTGGCGCCGCCGACGACATTCGGTCCGAGGCAACACGATAGTGAGTACGATTACCACGATGACATGCGACTGAGCTCCGACCCCCCAGCATACTATCGTACAGCAATGCAAAGCTCTCTGCTCGGCGATCCCGCCTGGCCACCGTCGGCTGATAGCCGGCCGGCGCTCCGCCCCGCGCCAACAGCAGGCTACATGGCTCTGCTTCCCAGTCCGGAGGAGCGTCCGCGACGGCAGACGCACGCCGCGGTGTCACTTGCCGCCCAACTATACACAGGCGCACAGAACGCGCCACGCAGACGGCCGACGCAAGTTAGACGTGTCGGACAAAAAAAAAACACTGAAGAAAACTTCAGGGACAGCAACATGGAGAGATACGCAGCCTGTACCGCCGCGTGTTTAAATCGTCGAAAAGTGACGGAAACGTACCGCTGCCAAGTAATCAGGAAATTCCATTGACGGAAAATGCTTGAACGCCGTCAAACGTTGCGAACGTTCCGCCCCTGCTCGTAATCCGAGCCCGCTCGAGAAGCCCGTTCGATTTTGACAGCACCAGTGACAATGAGCGACAAAACGTGGCCCGAGATGGCGTTCAAACGTCCGAAGCTGCGGGCTCATGCACAAAATTAAACAGGTATAAAATTGCTACCAGCACGGGCGAAGAAAGTAGCACTGCCCACAACCCGTTGACATAGGTAAAGTCGCATCCTGTGTAGATTACACCCTCGCCGTTCACTGGGGTGACCCCAGAGCCTTGACCTCATCGCAGACCCCCTACAGGGACCACACCGGCCCGTCAAAGCGCAGGTGCGACGGTCACGTCAACCCGCAGTCTCACACGTCGACGCCAGATGGCGGGGGCGTCAGCAAACAGCCTGAACTTTGCTTATCGCCTGTAGCTCCCCAGGAACGCCTTGCAGTTGGGGCAAAAGTGCTCTTTGTTCATGCATTCGTCCATACAGCACGGGATCAGACAGCAGCCCATCCAGCATCTGAAAGGTGAATGCAAACAAACATCAGGTGATGCGTGCAAACACACCTATGGCTGGGAGGCAAAATACTCTGACAGACATGATAACAATGCGAATTGACACAGTAACAATGTTCCTACGCATTTTCCTGCAAAAGCTCCATGAGGATATTTGGAGAGGAGCTACCGCCTGGCCATGTTAATGAATTGACTAAACGCCTGATAAGCTGCAGAGATAAGACGGCTTACATGTCAGATCACACTGTACACTGGCATGGACAATTAAAATAAACGCTTTCAGGTTCCCCCAAAGTCACGCTGCGCTAGTGACGTGCGGTTCCCAACAGTCCTCGCGGAGCAGCAGGCCAAACACACGTGGTCGAGCCCTGGGCGGGGCCGGTTTACAGGGACACGACACCAGCAGAGCCAATCAGGCGTCCACGCGCCGCGGAGCGGCCCGGCCGCGGCGCACGCACCCGAACAGCGCGATCAGCAGGCCGGCGATCCAGGCCGTGGTCGATGGCGACGAGCGCACGCTGGTCTCGATCTCGGCGTGACAGTGCGGGCACATCATGTGGGCCGGGTTGGGACCGGCCACCGTGACCAGGTGCGTCTGTGCCGGCGGCGCCGCTTGCAGGGGCACACCTGCGACGGGTGGCGCACCGCTCAGCCGTGCCACGCGGCGTCGGCCAGGGGCGCAGTGCCGAGCCGGCACAAAACACCTCATGCGTTCGCCCCATGCACTCTTGACGGTTCGCGCATGAAAATACAAGCTTCTTAGCACGATCGTAAACTACTGTTCAACGGCTGAAAAGGTACGAGCCTGCCAATGTCCCAAGAATGTTACTTGACTCGCAAGAGCGGCTGACGATAAGAGCCGTCTGCCAACAACTCGAGTGTCTCGACAGCGCAGCCCCTGGAGGTGAGCCACGGGGTCCCGTGCGTCCTGCGTGCACCATCCCCCTTCCCCTGACCGCTCCTGAGACGGGGCGGCGCGTACCTGGCGGAGCGCCGTACTGTCCGTACTGCTGCTGCTGGGCAGGGCCGTGCGGCACGCCGGGTCCCTGGCCGTACGGTCCACCGGGCCCCTGGCCGTACGGTCCACCGGGCCCCTGGCCGTACGGTACACCGGGCCCCTGGCCGTACGGCACACCGGGCCCCTGGCCGTACGGCGAGGGTCCAGCACCGCCTGGCGGACCGTACGGAGACGCGACCTGGGGCATCGGTGGAGCCTTGTAGTCGGCAGGACCTGCGCACAAGGCACCCAAGAAGGAGTCACACTCGGGCAAATTCCGCCCGCCGCAGAACACAACTGACGGCGGCTGGCAAGAGGGCCACGGTGTTCCTTGAGGACAATGCGTACCTGGCGCCGACCCCTAGGCGCCCCACGACACCGCTGGGGCACTACACGACGTGTCCACCAATGACCCCATTTGGATGGTCACACCGCATGGCTAGGTGAACAGCTTCCACGGAAATCTCGATTAAGGTCATACGACATAGCTAAAGTGAAAACATTCCGAATCAAAGTGACACTGTCGTCATCGACGGCCCATAACACGTGACCTCACCTGGGTCAAGCTCTGCTCAGGTGACGGCGAGAGAACATCGGCGGCGTAGCGATGTCTTTGTTTGTTTCTGCGTTTTTGCGTGCAAATGCATGAAGAACAAAATGCTATGCCTAATGTAAGTGGAGCTGACAGCTGTGGTGATCTAAATCACATGCGAAAACGCTCAGAATGCCCTCAACCGTAAATGTATGACATCGCCAAACTTAAGTTGAGACAACGAGTAAGTTAAAGCTTACAAATTTCTTTTGATCAGTATACCAGCTGTATCACCATATGGCCTTGGAATATGAGGCACAGTATATTACAATGTTGGTAGAAATATGCAGCCATTTCAGCTCATAATTCACTGTAAGTTCAATCTTAGTCAAATCAGAACCTTTTTGTTGAACAAGGAAATTTCTTTACAGCCTTAATGTTTACTGCTTAATGATATTTCACATTGACCAGCGATCTACGGAAAATAAATGGCGCAATCTGATGCGTAATCTGTCGGATTCGGGTGACAGTGCGACGGCGGGGTTACTTGATACCATGAATACCTATGCAGGTTTTAGCCAAATCAGATCAATAGCGACATGACTAAAAGACCAACGCGCTTTTGAGAGGTCCAAAATGACCATCCACATTTCATAGCATGATGACGATGATATGGGCTGCATGGCACACTGACTACAATGGTGATATTGCTACCATGCGTCTAATAGCAGCTGTTGCGTGGCAAACATTGAGTAATCACAAAACTCTGCGTAGTTTGACCCACACTGAACAAGTAAAATAACTTCAATTTTTAATTTTGGTTCACGCTGTTGTTCTTTTGATGTTGCATGGTTGACTGTCACAAAAATAGCATGAAGATGGTAATGAGCAGTTCATGTCTATTTTTGACTGAACTTCCACAGAACAGTAAAAGCATGACAATGGGAACTAGACTTCAAGCTCAACTTATTCAGAATGAAATCATTAACTCCCATATTTGCCACCAAATTTTAGTTTACAACATCCATTCAAAGCCGTGAAATCTGTACCTTTAACCATGGTATTTGTTGACATAAAGGGTAACACGATACAGGGTCAACACATCAAAATGTAAGAAACATGACAAATCCAAAAATTACATGGCCCAAACCTTCAACATGGGTTCCACAACACATTAATTTACATCATTCTGATGGATTTTACATGTTATAGTGACTAAAGGTAAGTCTGGTATGGTTTAGTTTTTGGTTTTGGGACTAATCAAAAGTGTTGGGCACCACAGGTCTGTTATTGTCAGTTTCACTGTGATGAAATCACATAGCCAGATTTAAAGCATTACTTACACCACTTTAGCTAAAATGCATCTGCATGCAAGTTATTTCATGCACATTTTCTCAGTCAATATGTGGTGGATTCCTGGAGCACATGTCCAGCCAGTGGCTGCTGGGTGGTTCAAGTTTGCCTTTGTTCTGACAGTCAGTTCATACCTGGTGTTGGCTGGTAGGCAGCACCTTCAGTCATAGCTTGGTTATAGCTGGGTGGCCCATCAGTTGGAGGCTGAAAGTCAGGAGGTGCAGAAGCCTTGCTCATGGTGAGGTTTTCAGGTCCTGAAAACACAATCAGGATCAGAACACTCAATAACATCCGTGACTAATGTGATCCAGGCATCATAGTACTACCATGCCTCTGATGCCATAGTCATCCATAGGCAGAAAAAAATTCAAGGTTTAGCTTAAATACTTAAGGTACCAATTTTGACATCTGTTCTGGGTAAATGAATTACTGGAATGACAATGAAATGTTCTGGGACCAATCTGATCTATGACTGCAATGATTACAGCTTGTTCTCAGAATCTAGAAATTATTCAGGGATCATGTGACCTGCAGCCAGTCAAAAGTCATGCCAGCAGCACTTCAAGCAGGGGACATCTTTGAATACTTTGAGAAGGTCCCCAGTTTGAAAAGACATGCTGTTAGGACTATTGTCCCACTCTATATAATTTTGTTTTTGTGATATTTTTACCATCTACCAGAATTCACATAACCAGCTATCAGTTTCACAATAACTTTGCTGCCAATATTTATTGAGGGTTCATGACAAAACTTCTCATGTCCAGCTGCCACACCATAACACATTATCTTAAAAAGATAGGTGCATACCCTAGTCACATGGCCTAATTTTGGTGCAAGGCATATCACATGAACAAAACTGCCAATCTTGTTCAGTTAACTAAATTCATTGAGCCAAGAAAACACAAAACTGCTAGCCTCAATCATTGCTGAATAACCTGGGGCAAGAAGGGACATAACAGCTATATATAATGTCATAATACAGTAGACATATGACATGGAGCATGAGTGCCAACCAGATGTTGGGCTGAAAGGGGATAGGGTAGGGAGGTTAGGTTAGGTCAGGTTAGGTTAGGTTAGGTTAGGTTAGGTTAGGTAAGGGTATGGTAGGGTAGGTTAGGGTAGGTCAGGTTATGCTACACTGTCATTAGGTTATGTTAGATTGGGTTTGGTTAAATCATCTGGGCCCTTGGTCTCAAAATCCAATATTAACATATTAATAGGTCCCTTAACAGTCCCACTTCATGCAACTCCGTCCTCACGTATGATGCAATAACGCTCGACTGCATCAACACACGTTGATGCTGTGACCTCCACCTCGGAACCTACCTCTGTAATGGAATGGATTCCCCCGGGTCTTCTAGGATAGTTGATTCCAGCTCGTCACCCACCCAGTGTAATCCCCACCGACCCACTTACCACCCGCACGTCAACGCCCGTCCCCTGCGCCCGTCCGCGACAAGATCAGCGTCAGGGGACCAATGGGGGAAATCCCTCGGCCCTGGTCGGTATCAGAAGGCTGCAAGAAAAATCTGAATACAAAAGTGACGCGATGGAGACAACTGAAACGAATACTTGGGCAGACAAGTGTAGAATTGTTGTTCCTAGGGCCATAGATTTGTTTGTGTATTTACGTGTTTCAGGACATATGATTAATGTTCATGGTCTGCTAGGAACAGCTGGTTGGAGGTCGCATTTCATGGTGAGATGCTTGTAAAGAGACCTAAAGGAGGCCTTGAGCTACTGAAGTCACGTCTGAAGCGAGCTGCTGGAGTCATCATAGCACTTGAACTTGGTGTTGCTGGAGCAGGATACTGGACTTTCAGGAAAGTCAACAGGGATCAAGGTATGTGTCAAATGTAAAAAAGGTGGCACTAATGCTGATTATGATGAATAGCAGCAACTGGCAGATGTGTGTGCATGTATGAGTGCATGCATGCATGCATGCACATGCTTGTGCATGCTTGTTTTTATATGGAGCATGTTACCATGCTTCCAGGAAAGTCAATAGGGATCAGGGTATCAGTCAAATGTAAAAAGGTAGCAATGGTACTGATTATGATGAATAGCAGCAACAGACAGATGTGTGTCTGCATGCATGAGTGGGGGCACTGCAGCACTGCACTGCACTGCACATGCATAGATCACTGCACAAGCTTGTGCATGCTTGTATATTGAAAAGCTCTATCCTATAGCTCATTTTTTTATTTATCCACACTGGCAGGTTAAATTCAAGCTGCTTTGAGCTGTTACTATTTGTCCAAATGGGATGGAGTGTGGCAGTTCATAGCAGCCATGCTTAAGGTTGGGTGACAGAAGTGGTAGGATGGACTATGCCAAGTATTATGGCTAGCTTAACTTTTACAAAAAATATGCTGATGTCCTGAAATGTCACAATTGGATGCCATCCTGGAAATCTATCTGATCAAAGCTGTTCTCAGGTTTAAAAATGTTGTGTGTGTGTGAGAGTGCTTGCTTTGTGAAGATGACTGCCAAAAGTGTGTGCTTCATTGTATGCCTTGGAACTCATGTGAATGTGGGGACAGGAACTGCCACTGTATGATAGGGTGCTGGCTCAGTTTTCCATTTCTTGATACTTAAAAACTGGGCTTGACTAATTTGCATAGGCCAGAAGTGTTAACCATGACCATCCATGAGTGAAGCAAAATAAGCTACAAACTTGTGTGCCCCTGCTGGCAGAGTTTCGTTATTATTTGCACCGCAACTGGCCGACGGTGCTGTCGGCGTACTACACCTTCTGCAACACCATAGGGGAGGAGTACCGCCAGATTGAGTCGGCCGACATCCAGGCGTGGAAGGACCGGGTCCACAGAGTTCCGGCCTCATCGTCCTCCCCTCAGAGGTAGGGCATGGAGCAGTGTGACAGCCATTCCCCGATTCCGACGTGGGGCGATGAGATGTGCTATTGGCTGTTTGATTCTAAGGTTTGAGTTATTTGATGCATCATGTGAATGCTACCAGTGACAGTGGGTTGACAACACAGTTAAGCTGACCTGTTTGATCGCCTTACATGGGCTTGCAGTGCGGCACCATAAGACATACTGCGCGTGCCACAAGGTGATACTGTCCCCACAGCTGATCAATGGCGGCGGCGCGGGCGCTGGCCCACCTGGTGGTCTGGACGGGGCTCGGCTACTTCCTGATGAGGATGGTCACCCCAGTGATGAGGAAATGCGCAAGGTGAGAGCTTCGCCAGATTCTGGACTCTGTTACCCATGTATCCTCTGTGACATACATGGTATGTCATTGTTTGAATTTTTGGCATGATCCTGTGCGTGCAATCAGTGGTATGGCTTGGAGCTGGTATACTTTGTAATTTAACCGTTATGTTCGCAGGCGATAAACCCATACGGCGTGTCAAAGAACGAGAAGGAAACTAAGCTGGTTATGGAGACGTTAAAGAGGTCTGCCGGCATCAAGGGTGAATAGGACCATCTCGGATGCCTAGTCGTAAAAGGTACGTGGACTCCATAACCAGTTTTAAAGAAATATGTCGTCCTGCTGCCCTCGTGAATCAGACCATTCCAATTCATGTCGCAGTTGAAACTTCCACGCGACCAGAAAAACGAATCGCTCTTCTCGCCAAACGGACATGCACTAGATGTTGACAGTGACCGCCGTATGTGCACATGTGGGGAGGAGAACGGTGCTCTCGTGGGAAGCAGCGAAAACATGGCGGTCATTCCATCCGTTGGGGGGGGGGGGGGCGTGACACGCCTGACCTGGCCGGATGTCACCACAGTTGATCTTCCGCTCGGCAGGTTGGCGACCTGCCAGTCAGCCTCGGCCGGCAAGGACACTCAAGCCGCGGTTCGGGTGCTCCCGTCCTCTACACGGTCCTTCGACCGAGCTGTGGCGGCGGGGCTAAGGCTGCTGGTGAATTATATTGTTACGTTGCGACGATATAGAATGATGGATGACATGTAGTATGTTAATAAAGATATGATGTGTGTACACACTGTGTTTGGCTAAGCATGGTTCCTAACCTACTGGCATGGCAGCTTTCTTGTCATTTTCCTGAAACCGGCGATGTTCATTGATACTGGTGACAGTCGTTTACCATGGTGCAACACCGCGTCCAGAACGGTTGGGGGTAAAGGCCCGATGAAAGTTGCTAGACATAAAAATAAGAATTGGTTTCGGTAGATCACATTCAGGAAGTAGCAGCTGTGATCATTATCCATTGTTAATTCCGTTTTCCTAAAACCATCCCAGCCGCGTGTACGCGTCATGCGTACTCAAGCTCAGGCCGCAGTTGGGCCGGTTTGTGTGTGGAGAGACAAGACAATACCAATCGAACGTTTTCCTCTGCCAAGCTAAATAATGTTCTCAAACATCAGAAGGATCGAGCTCTTCCACTGACATCTCCAGTGCGGTCGTTCCTCAGTCTAAACTGCACAGTAGGCAATGAATTTACCCGGAGCCGCCTTTGGGGTATAAAGTGAGCGCACCTGTCAAACAGCTTTTCCAACCTTATTTTCACAGCAAGTTGCGTTTTCAGAGTGGCCGTTCAACTTTAAACCCCCATAACGCATGCAATTTAGCTTCTATTATTTGTCCCTGGCCGTAGCAGTGCCGAATAGACTACTGCCACAAAGACATCAAAACACAGACACCTGGCCAACAAAGATCCACGAGGGCCCATCGAGGTTTGTCTACCTCAGGCCCCGTACACATCCTTAAAACTAATTTTACCACTGCATGAATTCAGTTACAAATGAAATCTTTAGACGGATAGAACTTGTCCACACGGTTTTTGGATTTTGTGAGAGGGACTTTCTACAACTTCGTGTGTCAACCTATTCCAGTAGTTCACTACTCTGAGTAAATGACGTCCGCCTCTTCATAGTTTTACTCCTACCTCTTGTTAAATGAAGCTGGTTTCCTTTATGCATCGGCCTAATTTACAGCGTCCCATTCAGATATACCTTGCCTATGCCTTTCATAATTTTGTATACATCCATCAGATCCACTCCAAGTCTATGATATTCCAGTGAATACAAATGCAAGGTCCTAAGCCAATCCCTATATTTTAGGTCGCCAGTCCTATTTATCACCTTAGTTGCTTTTCGCTGCGCTCTTTCCAGTCGATCTAATCTTCTTGGAGCATGGGGACCAAGCCTGTACAAAACACTCTAGGTGTGATTTGACAATAGCTAAGTACAACTTTTTGGCAACATCCTTTCTTTTGTAATGGACATGTAATGATGCACAGAATGGCACAATGGTGCACTTCACTTGTGCGCCGTACCTCCGCGGGCTGCACGTCCGTAACAGGGGCGTAACAGCACGAGAGCGCCGTACCTCCGCGGGCTGCACGTCCGTAACAGGGCGTAGCATTTCGAGAGCGCCGTACCTCCGCGGGCTCCATCTCCGTTACAGGGCGTAACAGTACGAGAGCGCCGTACCTCCGCGGCCCTCCATCTCCGTTACAGGCCGTAACGTAACAGTACGAGAGCGCCGTACCACCGCGGGCTCCACCTCCGTTACAGGGCGTAGCAGTACGAAGCGCCGTACCTCCGCGGGCTCCATCTCCGTAACAGGGCGTAACAGCACGAGAGCGCCGTACCTCCGCGGGCTGCACGTCCGTAACAGGGCGTAACAGCACGAGAGCGCCGTACCACCGCGGGCTCCGCCTCCGTAACAGGGCGTAACAGTACGAGAGCGCCGTACCTCCGCGGCCTCCATCTCCGTTACAGGGCGTAACAGTACGAGAGCGCCGTACCTCCGCGGCCTCCATCTCCGTTACAGGGCGTAACAGTACGAGAGCGCCGTACCACCGCGGGCTCCACCTCCGTTACAGGGCGTAGCAGTACGAAGCGCCGTACCTCCGCGGGCTCCATCTCCGTAACAGGGCGTAGCAGCACGAGAGCGCCGTACCACCGCGGGCTGCATCTCCGTTACAGGGCTTAACAGTGCGCGAGTGTCACACGCATCAAATCCTACGAACCGGCCAAGACGTGCAGACCATGCACACCGACTCTACAACTTTTTTGGATAGTGCCTGCCAGGCTTTTCGACATCGATTTAAGTCGGCGTCGCCGTTTTGTTTTTAGTATTGGAGGTGAAAATCGAGTTTTTTGCGTATCGCCGTAGGCAAGCAAACACATGTCGTCCGAAAAATAGTTTGCACTGAATTAGCCTCCAGATAATGATTTCACGCACCGTTCATTCTGAAAAAAGCAACGCAGCATTCGATGTGATATATTCGAAGATGATGCGCAACTGTTTATTGCTCAATTACGTATTGCACTTGACTTCTGTGACCGGCCCCATCTTCCCGCTTTGAGCCGGCTTGCGTTACGTGCTTGCTCTCCAGGTGCGGCTCCCTCCGGAGACGCCACTGGAGCAGTTCCGCTCCAGTGGCCCCAGCAGACGCCAGCGGGCTTAGCTCGGGTTGACCTCCGGCCGGGGTACGGCCCGGCGTCTGGCAACGGTGGAACCTGGCGCTAGCCGTCAAAATCACTGTTCTGTCCCCGTCACTCCCTTGACTGTAGCATTGCTGGAGATGCCTATCAGAACATCGCGTGGTGATGAAGCCATGACGAAATACTCGGAACCATCAGCGACCACGCATTCAGATTATCGTAACCAGACGCTACTACAAATGCTGTAAACCGAGTGCGTGTCCATAGGGCGCACAGTAACCGGAATGTCCGCGTACAGTGCTACAAAAGCTAGCGCCGCCACACGAACCCACCTCAATCGTGCTGAGCACGTCATGATGACAAACCCTCCGCCGGGGGACAGCAGATGCCGCTGCAGCGGCGCCGCTCTGTAATCACGATGTATTGTCAGGCGTGCTGCACTAACCACTGCAAGTCACAGCAGAACGAGTGCACCATCTTAAGTGAGGGCATGAAACAATACTTTACGGTCAAAAAGCTTGCGGCAACGTGCAACATATACCAGCGTCAATGAAGCCCTTGGTCCGGGATCCACGTCCAGGCTGTTAGAGATGAGTGGGCGATATTTCTACAGTTTTGCTGGATCATATGCACGATATCACAACAAACATTGGACACAAATTTGACTATAGATGCCCGAAAGACGCCGGAAACTCCTGCCCTTATCAAGTTATAAGGGGATCCCAGCCATCATCACGTTCTTATCCGCCTGCCACATGTTGCTGTGGGCAAGTACGTACAATGGCAAGGGTAAAAAATCGTGACTTATCAACAAAACATCAGCGACTAACACGTTCAAGCACGCCCCTGCCGCCTGCATCACCAGCCTGACCTGACCGGCGCCTGGCTGGCACCCTCTCACGCGTCGGCGCACAGCTCGAGCCGACCGGTGCGGCGCAGGCAGCGCCAGGTTCGCCGCAGGGCCGCCGGGTCCAGCTGGCCACGGCTGTAGCCGGCCGGCCGGCCACACCACCAGTCGGCGTCGGGCACGCGGCGCACGGACCGGCCCGACAGCCAGATGCCCAGCGACGTGTCCTCGCCCTGGAACCTGCCGGTGGCCGGGCGGGTACGCTGACGTCCGAGTATCAGGATCCAGACACCCAGTACCGCGTCCTCGCCCTGGAACCTGCCGATGGCCGAGCGGGTATGGTGATGCCCGAGTCTTGGGATCAAGACACCCAGTACCGTGTCCTCGCCCTGGAACCTGCCGATGGCCGAGCGGGTATGGTGATGCCCGAGTCTTGGGATCAAGACACCCAGTACCGTGTCCTCGCCCTGGAACCTGCCGATGGCCGAGCGGGTATGGTGATGCCCGAGTCTTGGGATCAAGACACCCAGTACCGTGTCCTCGCCCTGGAACCTGCCGATGGCCGAGCGGGTATGGTGATGCCCGAGCCTCAGGATCCAGACACCCAGTACCGTGTCCTCGCCCTGGAACCTGCCGATGGCCGGGCGGGTATGGTGATGCCCGAGTCTTGGGATCAAGACACCCAGTACCGTGTCCTCGCCCTGGAACCTGCCGATGGCCGAGCGGGTATGGTGATGCCCGAGCCTCAGGATCCAGACACCCAGTAACGTGCCCTCGCCCTGGAAATTGCCTATGACCGAGCGGGTATGGTGACGCCCGAGTCTCAGGATCCAGACACCCAGCGACGTGTCCTCGCCCTGGAGCCTGCCGATGGCCGGGCGGGTATGCTGACGTCCGAGTCTCGGTATCCAGACACCCAGTACCGTGTCCTCGCCCTGGAACTTGCTGATGGCCGGGCGGGTATGCTGACGTCCGAGTCTCGGGATCCAGATACCCAGCGGCGTGTCCTCGCCCTGGAACCTGCCGATGGCCGAGCAGGTATGCTGACGCCCGAGTCTCGGGATCCAGACACCCAGAACCGTGTCCTCGCCCTGGGATCTGCCGATGGCCGAGCGGGTATGGTGATGCCCGAGCCTCAGGATCCAGACACCCAGTAACGTGCCCTCGCCCTGGAACCTGCCGATGACCGGGCGGGTATGGTGACGCCCGAGCCTCAGGATCCAGACACCCAGTACCGTGTCCTCGCCCTGGAACTTGCCGATGGCCGAGCGGGTATGCTGACGCCCGAGTCTCGGGATCCAGACACCCAGTAACGTGTCCCCGCCCTGGAACCTGCCGATGGCCCGGCGGGTATGCTGACGCTCGAGTCTCAGGATACAGGCACACAGCGACGTCTTGGATCCTGAGCGTACACTTTGAGCTAGTATGTTGAAAATAACTTTCATTCGAATTTCAGCGCACCAGGAGGTGCTGGTTAAGCATGGTTAGGCCCGGCACGCTCGGACATCGCCCCGAGCGGCGCCCCACCTGGTTAGATGTTGAGCACTGGCGGCCAGCCGGCGCACCGCGTCCATCGAGAGCAGGCTGGCCGTGCCGCACGCGAACGGCGGATACACCTCCGCCTGGTACACGTACTCGGCCCACTTGCCGTACCGGTTCGCTGGCCAGTTGTACCTGCGACGGTCAGCCGCCTGAGAGTCACTTTCACGCCGTGGTTTGTTCAGGACTGGCATGTGTTACTTTTGCCGGCAACGCTGCTCGACGACGTTGTTGAGTAATGCGCTGAATAAGCACAACCGGATAATACATTGACAAAAAGATAGTCACCTAAGATAAGCAAATAAGCCATTGACAGCACCCTATGCACCTCGCAGCTTTGGAAGCATTTGAACTCCGACATATCGAGACAGATAACACACCTGAAGTTTCCCCACCAGATGTCACTGCCGGTGCGTTTTGGAATGTTCTGCAGTATGCGCGGCAGGTCTAGGATTACGTCGTCGTCACATTTGATGACCCAGTCAGCAGAGCTGTGTGTGGAGACCCTGCCAAGCGAAGACAAGACGCAACATACCATACACGCCAGCGTTCCTTCTGGTTCGCCTCCATCATGTGTGTTCAGAGCTGTGTGTGGAGACCCTGCCAAGCAAAGACAGGACGCAACATACCATACACGCCAGCGTTCCTTCTGGTTCGTCTCTATCATGTGTGTTCCAAACGCCACACACTCGCCATCGGTTAGCCATGGGCGGTCGGCCCGAGGTGCGGGACTCACCAGGAGAAGAAGCCGAGCAGTTTGTCGGGCAGGCGGCGGTACACGTCGATGCCGGGCAGCAGGAGCAGGTCGCCGTGCTCGGCCGCCTCCTCCGCTAGCGCCCGCTGGGCGGCGCCACCGTCGTCCCGGTGGCAGCTCGCCGGTCGGCCCTCTAACAGCTCTGCCAGCCGCGCCGGCTCTGCGGTCGGTCAGCAAGGTCACCAAATTAGCAGAGGCGAATCGGCACCCGGACAACGCTGTTAGACAGAGCACCATGCTCTTGGCCGAGCGTCGCAATGACTGGCACGTGTTAGGGCCCTCCATCCTGGATTGGATGGGTTGGTTGCTAACGCCTTGCAAAACAGACTAGGGTCGAATATTACTACTGGGATTAGCGCACCGACACACTCTTTCGCCAGTACACTCTGTTTATTGCCATAGCACACACACCTAATAAGTCCCCTGGTGACATTTGCCCTGAACGTTGTTCCAAAACGCTTGGTGTTGCAGCAACAGTGAGGACCCAGCAGAGGGGGCAGCGGCCAGCCGCGCGTCCTTGTACCGTGGACGGTGAAGACGAGCTGAAGCGGACAGCAGAGCGGCTCGTGGCCGAGCTTCACCAGCCGGCCGTCGGTCGTCAGCAGGGCGGTGACGTGCAGCAGGCCCGGTACCGGTGACTTCGAGTGGCGGCAGCGACCCAGCCGGGCCGGCTCCTCCAGACGCAGCACGCCCTCGAAGCCAGCCGGCAGCAGGTGCGCTTCCAGCGCGGCGCCAGCGGCTGGCGGCGGCGCAGCGGCGGACAGCCGGCGCCCGTCAGACGTCTCTAGGAGCACGGCACCGGCGGCGGCGGCGGCAGACGCCACCGCCACGCGGCGCACCACCACCGGGTGCAGGACGGTGAAGGCGAGCCCGGCGGCCGGCGGCAGCAGGGCCTGGCCGAGCTGCAGTGCCAGCGACTGCTCCCCGGACGTCGCTGCCACCGAGTGGAGAGACAGCTGAGCGGGGCAGCGCAGTGGAGCGGAGGGGGGGGGGGGGGGCTCAGCGGGGCGGTGCGGTGGAGCGGAGGGAAGACTGAGCGGGGCGGCACAGTGGAGCGGAGGGGGGAGGGGCCTCAGCGGGGCGGTGCGGTGGAGCGGAGGGAAGACTGAGCGGGGCGGCACAGTGGAGCGGAGGGGAGGGGGGGGGGGGGGGGCTCAGCGGGGCGGTGCGGTGGAGCGGAGGGAAGACTGAGCGGGGCGGCACAGTGGAGCGGAGGGGGAGGGGCCTCAGCGGGGCGGTGCGGTGGAGCGGAGGGAAGACTGAGCGGGGCGGCACAGTGGAGCGGAGGGGGGAGGGGGCTCAGCGGGGCGGTGCGGTGGAGCGGAGGGGGGAGGGGAGGGGGCTCAGCGGGGCGGTGCGGTGGAGCGGAGGGGGGAGGGGAGGGGGGCTCAGCGGGGCGGTGCGGTGGAGCGGAGGGAAGACTGAGCGGGGCGGCTCAGTGGAGCGGAGGGGGGGGGGGCTCAGCGGGGCGGTGCGGTGGAGCGGAGGGGGGAGGGGAGGGGGCTCAGCGGGGCGGTGCGGTGGAGCGGAGGGGGGGAGGGGAGGGGGGCTCAGCGGGGCGGTGCGGTGGAGTGGAGGAAGACTAAGCGGGGCGGCACAGTGGAGCGGAGGGGGGAGGGGGGGGGCTCAGCGGGGCGGTGCGGTGGAGCGGAGGGGGGAGGGAGGGGGCTCAGCGGGGCGGTGCGGTGGAGCGGAGGGGGGAGGGAGGGGGGGGGGGGGGCTCAGCGGGGCGGTGCGGTGGAGCGGAGGGGGGGGGGGGGGCTCAGCGGGGCGGTGCGGTGGAGCGGAGGGACCGTTGAGGCTGCTCGGGGCGTCCATCAGCGTCACGACACTACTGCTGCGTCACAAAAGCAATCGTCGTTCGCCTTCGCGTCTCTAGACACGCCACACCGCTCAACTGAATACGCGGCATGAACGGCCCACCTATCCTGAACGGACACACGTACCATTATCAGCAGGCTCCCAGGCTTCACAGGAATATGGGTCCAGTTTGCACCAATCAGCCAGATCGCAAGCGGTGTCTCCCACGACGAAGAGGCCCCGGGCGCCGCCATCGTGCAGGCGCGGCCACCAGGTGGCGCGCACGGCGTCACGCTGCGCCCGGTGGTGACGGGCCGACAGGACGCCGACCACCACCTGCTCCCCGCTGCCGCCTGGTGGCAGCGTGCCGGAAATCCTACAAAGGGTGCTGATGTCCGCCCGTCCCCATTGAACAGCTGATTGAAGGTTGACCTCTTGCATAGCAGCTGTTTCAAGCTGATGCCTCCCTCCCCCCTCTCATTAAACAACTCATTTTGACTTTTACTGGTTACTCTGCCGTCCCAAGGAAACGCCATGGATTACAGTAGTCCAGAGAACCCGTAGGCAAATCGCACTAGGCATGGACAACGCGCAGCATCACGCCAAGCTTCCAGAATTTTCTTTCCCGCTCACGTGCAAAAACAAATATTTCCTTCCCATTATATATCATTGTTCCAATCAGAGACTTACCTAGCATGTCAAGTTTCAAAAATGTAATGGCAACGGCAAGAAGGCCAATCAAGCCAGCAAGAGCGGCTGATCTGAATCTGGTGCACATTATGTACCTGAAAAGTGAGTACAATATCAGCGTAATTGTCAACGCTGAAAGATGTAGCTGACTAGGATGTTACCAAAAATGCTGTTGAAAACGAAAATGTCATTGAGCCATGCATCAACTGCAATTAACTAGCACAAACTGTCATAAAGCTCAAGTCAACTGTTCCAAGCAAAATAAAGACTGACAAGAGAGAAATTATTGAAAAAGTTGAGCTAAAACTTTCTGAAGAATTGTGGAAATGTGAACTAAATGTGAGTTACCATAAAAATGTTAAAACTTAAAGCAGCTCCTGGATGCCGTCGTGGGATCTGGTAGCGGGAGGAGGGAGAGTGAGTGCTGACGCTTTGTATTCGAAGTGATAATCATGGGACAGAAAAAGACGATGATTTGGATTCATAGCCCTAGTGTTTCAATAGAATGAACGAAGTTATGACCGCACGTTCCACTCGTTCGGTCACCACTGCACACAGTTATGACCTCCGTGGCCGCAACAAGCAGTACTTCCGATCCTGCCAGAGCAGTCGATTGCACTGGCACAGTTTGGCCAGATACTGCCGACTAACAGCGGGCGACACCACACACACATTCCTGGTCACTGCACCGTCTATTGTCATCCGTGTTGTGCTCGACATGACCTGGAGCGATACAATAGCAACCATGACGTGGCCAAAAACACCCACTTGACAAGCCTCAATCCTCAATCAAGCACAATCTCGGCACGGGCTCACAGCGGCGTTGGCTCGGCAAGGTCCAGCAGGGCCCGGATGGTCAAAACACGGCTCGCGTATAAATAAAAACGACTTTACCGCGACCACAGCAAATCATCAAATGGTCACACCACGCCACCGACGCCTTATAACGCCGCACCAAATGGACAGAAACCCTTTTTATATGTTACATTAACAAGTACATGTTATTTCCTTGCTATACCATCGACGAGTGGGATTATTTCAGCGCCAGCATGCGTGTCCGACCCGTCACAACCAGTTCTCGAAGGACGTCTGGGGGCAAGAGAGGCCGGGCAGTAATCAAGCGCGCGTGCACGACCTCTTGCCCTGTCCCCATCACAGCCGCCGGCCGGTGCATGCCCGCTCAGAAGCCGGCCGCGCGCCGCCGGCCCGTGTACTTGGAGTCCCGCGCCACCTCCTTGCCCTGGCGTCGGCGGCGCTCCTTCTTCTCGCGCACCCAGTCGCGCGAGCTCTTCGGCGGCTTGCCGCGCAGCTGGCGCATCCGGTCACGCTTGGCGTAGGCGACTGCGCTGGCCTGGCCGCCGTCGCCCAGGGCCTCCGGGAGCGGCTGCGGCCCGCCGCTCATCAGCACCAGGAACATCTTCTTGGCCTTGGTGCTGTTGGGGTAGTCGACCACCAGGCCGCCGGTGAAGCCGGCCTTCATGGCCTGCGCCGTGATCATCTCCACCTGGGCCGAGCTCTCCGGGTAGAACTGGAACACGGCACGGCCGCCCCGACCCAGGCAGCCGTACAGAGACGAGAAGAATTTGTACAGCCGCTTCCGCGGCACGTGCTCCTTCTTGTCGGCATTGCAGAGCCACTGCAGGGCTGATATGCTCAGCGCCCCATCGAAAGAGCCCGCTCGGAAGGGCAGGCCCTGGCCCAGGTCGCTGAGCAGCACGTCGCCCTCCACTTCGCGCTCTATGGAGACGTTCAGCATGGCTTGCGAGATGTCGCAGCCGACCCAGACGTGGCCGGCCTCGGTGATCGTCTCGCCGCTGAGTCCTGAGCCGCAGCCGAGGTCGAGCACTAGATGCGGTATGCCCTCCGGTAGCGCCAGCAGCTCCAGCGCTCGCTCCGTCATGCGCTCCTGCACCTCTATCATCCGGGAGTTCGACGAATATTTTCGGGCCTCCTTTTCATCATAAAAAATCTCAGGAGGAGCTGCGTGCTCTGGACGACGTGTTGACGAAGCCATTTCAACTTCACAGTCTTTGCTGAATCAGTCTGCAACTGCAATGTGTATTGAATAGTTACAGTCATGCTGATCAAGCCCTCACAAACATCAAGAGATGCTGGGATGTCTTGTGTGTAGTTTGTGGCATCTGTTGTCTTAATGAGTTTGTAATAGAGAAAAATGGCATTTCCTGGGCAACAAGACATCTTTATAAGCTATGAAGATGTCTTCTATTCTTCCACCCATATGTTATCAATTATCATAGTAATAATATATTTTGTACTAATTTTGATACTAATTACTTGCATTTCTCAATATGTCACCTTACAAATTATTTGACTGGACAAACCCCAATGTCACATCATGGTCTAAAATATCAGGTTGGCCCAGTGAAAACATAGGTAATTTGATGGCATATCCTGATTGTAAATAAACAGTAATTATAAGCATTTGTCTCCTTAAAAGCTGCACCACCAATCAACCTCATACTGAGATGGTTAGCAGACCTACTAAAATGTTGAACCATGATCAGAAATATGCATCACAGTTGTTGCCAAGCCAATAACAGTAGAGCCAGGACACAAGGCCAAACAAAATGCAAATGAATCATTTATCCCATAACATGAGTTTTGAAGACATGCTACAAGTTTATGGTATTTACTAACTTTTTACAGCTTTCAGAACACTGTCTTTATCTAGACTTCTACTTTAGGATGCACCACAATATTAATTGATCTTCACATAGGCCTTCAAAACATAACTGTTTACATTACACAAACACAATGTCTTTACACACATTTCACTATTATGGTTAACACAGACTGCTGCATCACTTGATCACCAGTGTATGTGCCTTCAGCACCTGACCACATAACTGCATACTGTTTTTCAGATATGTGGGATGTTATATGCCCATGCAGTGCCACATGACTGTTTACTTGTGTGTATTGCTTCACTACTGTTCCCATGCTAGCATAAGCACTCACATTGCCACTTCTCTTTTGTTTTAGATGAATGCCACTGTTTGGTAATTTTGTAGCAACTACAAGCCTCAGACAAACCTTTGATTTTTTAGCTCTGTGACTGTAAGATGCCAGTCATAACATACGAGTCCAGGGCTCAGACAGCATAGAGAGAAGGAACCATCCACTGAATTCTGTGAGTGCAAACAACATAAGCAGTGATGAGTCAACTATATGGGGTGGGGTGAAAAAATGAGCAAACCAAAGTATAAAAGAAGTATTTTCAGGCAACTGCCAGCACAACGAGAGTGAATGTTTCAAGGAGGTATGATGTTATGAAGGCACGTTCAGGCAAACATATGGATGACACATTTTCAAACAAAAGTTCTGGAAGTGGAGCCAGATTAGAGATTCGCGCACAAGCGTGTGCTCACCAATGTCTCGAATGCGTCCAGGGCCGTGAATGATTGTTTTCATCCTGGCACTGGCCACCACGTGGGCCCCCCTTTCGAAGGCTCAAGAAAAGAGCTTCGGAAAGCTTAATTCGCCACCAGGCACGACAGCTATCCCCACCTTTTCATTCGAAGTGTGCTACGAGTGTTCGCCGCTTGACTTGGAACACGCCGCAGGACTCCGAAAAGTCCTCGGGAACACCACACGTCCTTCAGCCCCTGCTTCAGCCCCTGCTCCTGTACACCACGTTGGAGGCGATCGTGACGCCCCGCAATACCAAACTCAGCCGTTGTCGTCCCAATGCCTCTGCACGCGTTTGCACAACAGATCCTCGATAGTATTTAGTACGAATTCTTCCTAAGAGGGGAGCGGTGCTCAGCACTGATTTGCACTAAAATCGACAAAGTTTGATATGTATAGATGCTAAACAGTAGCGTGTGTCATCGGTAACAAAACCAAGTGAGACGAAGAAATTCTTTAGCGCAAGAGTCCAAAAGCACATAGCATAGCAAACGTTCTTCCCAACAACTTAAATTCGTGAGGCGCGGGTCGATCAAAATATCGCCATAAGCCCACGACCGGTGCTGCAGTCGCCCGACGCTGGGCGGCATCCGTCGCCGCAGGTAACACCAAGCCGTGGGCGGCAAGCGACACAAAATACCTTTGTGTATAAAAAATGTTGTCACCGAGCGCTATTTAAGCCGTTATACGAGAATGTCCCGGTCTAAGGTCTAATATGCGGATCAGACATTGCCAGATTTATTGGCATTTGGCGGAAACTTTATGTGCTGCGGAGTATGAACTCGTACGAGCATGCTGGTTAGTATTGCCTTATAATTTCACTTCCCTAAGACAACTAACGTGATGCAAATGAAACAATGCATAGCATATGACTCAAAATATATTGTCTGGTGTACAACTTAATGCATACAGCAAGCTCTGCAGCCTGTACCACGAACGTAGAGGTGGGGATGCGGTAAGGTGACCCCATGCACATCTTGCTTTTTGCCGAGCATGTGTATTCGACGCACCGGCCCAAACAGCAACTACTCACAGACTGGATACCCAAAACGCGTGTTGGCAGAGATCGCACAGTAGCAGAAATACTGTCGCAGCTGGGTTCCACGTATTGCAGAAGTTCCAGTTCCAGCCGCAGACGTCCTCGGCAGTGCGGCTCTGCGTTGCATTCCTAGTGTGAACCAGATAGGAGAGATAGTCAGCGGTGCCTGCAATTTGTTCCGCAGCACGCAGTCGCTGAGGTCTCACAATAGAGGCTGTGTGACTGGTCCGTGCCAGGGAATCAGTTCGGTGTACCTCACGGCCTCGAGGTTTACCGCTGAGATGGCGAAGACCCTGGCGTGAAGAAGACCCTCGGTTCACTGTCCACGAGCGGCGCTACGATCAGAACCACCTGTTTGCGGACCATGCGGTTTTCATCCCACACCATGTCCAGCAGCAGCCGTTCCCGCACGGACCCAGCACCCGCTACGCTGGGGGACTATGTGTGCTGCGGCAGGTCGCGGAGTACCGCGATGCTCCGGAACAAGCTGTGTAAGCCAAAGGCGCAGCAGCTGTTTTTCCGGATGGCGGACCCTACCGGCACATAGTGGCCAACCACACACTGGCCGAGGTCCCTGAGAGCGCTGCTGGAGGTCTCGGTAGAGATGTGAACTAGGAGCAGGCGAGCGGCCAGTGTCAACCATCTCAAAACACAAGCGAATAGATTAGAACAATTTGCTACGAACTGAGCATTAGATTGCTCAACAGTGAGCACACGAAATCTCAATTGATACTCGATGAACTTTAAACCCTCATCGGTATAAATTGGATGATGCGTTAACATATTCACCTGGCATGGTTGGATGGTCCGATTTGCCGCTGGGCCGCCACATTTCAGACAGAGCTGTTTTGAACGTCGGAGGCCAGAAGTTACAGCAGCTGCTGGTTGGTGCTCAGCTGCTGAATCAGTTCGACCGGCAGGTTTGGCACGGACCCCGACCTAGGCTTGAATGCTACAACGTCCCTCTCCTAGACCTCTCCAGCACAGGTCTTGCCGATGGGTCCAGAAAAGCTTCGAGCCCGTGGTCGTGCCATCCAGGCTCAATAGCAGGTGGAGGAGGTTCAGCTTGTTGCCGTGCAGCTGGCAGGTGAACCAGCGTGCGGGAGACTCGGTGGCCAGCTCAAACAGTCGGAACACGTCGCCTATCGTTTCGCTGTTGACGGCCGTGCCATCGCAGCCAAGCACATTGATGCAACCATCGCACCGCGGGCTCACGGAGTGTAGCTCGTTGAACAAGTGCAGGGCGCGGCCGAACTCGGACGTAAAATGAGTCACGTGGCGGTTGCCTGGCTCAGTGATGACAACCACGTGTTTTTCGGCGGCATTCGTCTGGCTCCGTGCGGCTCATGTAGTTGCTGCCTTCACGGCCGTCGGAGTGGAGGATGGTGAAACCTGACTCATGAATTGCTTCAAAATCTTAACGAACCGTCTCCTTTCTCGCTCTGTCTCTTGCGCAGCAGATCTTCTTATGATCTACGATATTTGATTTTAAGCAGCCAGTCCGTCTGTGCTGTCTTGTTCAAAGGCGTTGGTTATAGCAACAGCGGCCCGGTTCAGGCCATCGTAGCTGTCAACCGCCAGAGTGGTGGAAGTCAGATCGTTTACGCTATGATCTACATTGGTAGTGGTCTCAACCGGAACGAACAATCGGTGTCGTCGCCACCTTCTACCGTGTACGGAACCGTGTAAGAATCCCGGCTGACTCACCAGCGCTAAGACCACTTGGTCCCGGAGCAGGCTCGGGGTCAGCACTAGCAGCCAGCGCTGGCTCAGCAGGCGGCGAGGGCTAAGCAGCCGGCGGGAAAGGCGACTCAGGTCCAGCAGCAGACACCGCCTCACTGGCGTCCGAGCCACGACGCCCCGGAAGTTGTCTGGCCATCCTCCGTACCTCGCGAGGCTCCCTTGTCGCAATCGTATCCCGGCCATATGACACCAGGGTAAGCTTTCGGTGCCTGCAGTGGCCCTTCATGACAACCTCCTCCTGATGCACTGGGCAGGCCACCCGGCATGGGAAGATGCACTGAAGCTTGCACTTGCATTTCGCGACATCGAGAAGCTTGTTGAATTTCGCGGTGGCCGCGTCACTGTGTCACTCTCTTTGATTTCTTACTGATAGCTCTGTTGGGATTTTTTCTATCCCTCTCGATCAACTTTTTCACGTATTTTAGACCATGAACAGGGATCGCTTCGTTGGTCCACAGTTCCCTGATTTCTACCGTCGCGGTCTTGAAGATGGTATTAGTGAGATTCATCTTCGATTCGCTCAGTCACTTGATGTAGCTCAAGGCTTTCCAGCAGTCGGTAGTTGGTGGTGGGGTAGTGGAGCCAGGTGGCCTATCACAAAATGTTTTCTGCGCGACCGGTTAGCCTTCGGCATGCTTATGCAAGTAATTGTTCGAAAGAAATGTTTCAGTACCGGCAAAATTAAACTAATCAACCCATATCTCCCACGCAATAAAATACATGAATTGGAAATCAACATCACAATGATGCGTTAGCAATAACAAACTTGAGCCTAACCTAGTCTGCTAGAGCATTCTCATAGCTGCACAGCTTTGAGTTTTACCAAACATTAATGTTTTACTAAAAGGTTAGCATAAATGCTGTTTGGCAATGCTTTACTGGTGCTCTTCATGACGTCTATTTCATACTTCATCCACCAAGTACCAGTAGTGTGGAACGTGGCAGCTTTGAAGCGTGTTTGATGATGATTCCAGTGCGTAAAATAGGTGGCGCTAGTATCGAACAGGTTTTCTTGGCCTGTCAAAAAAACTGCTCTCGACCAACGGATATTAGCGTTGGTGCGGTGCGACAGACACGAAAGTTTGCCATTAATCCGTGTGCCAAGGAAAAACTTTGTCTCAGCTGATTCCAAGACATGAACCCCCTCGATGACACACCCTACTAAACAGAGCAGCCCGGTAACCCAGGGCATAACAGAGGAAATGAAGTTGTTTAGAGGTGAGCGTCGTGAATGTCTTTAGTCGTTCGATGGGAGTAGAAAACCTTCACCATTTCGGGATACCAATTCCCATTTGAATGAGAGCTGCTCCTAGGCCGCGGCAAGGTCGGTCGGTTGGTGGTCAGTGGGGAGCACGGTGGAGGTGGTTAGGAAACGTGCCTGAAGGAAGTGTTGCGCATGATTTACGGAAGAGTGCTATCTACCGGCTGAGTATGATATCGATATATCCCGGACTACAGGGCCTTAGGAATGATATCGTCATCCGGATAGTGCAAACAATGGGATATACTAGTCTCGAGACGTGGTTAGCATCAGACTTGGGTTTGGCCCGAATGTCTTGAGTCAGTTCCGGACTGGCTCACGGATTGTGGAGTCTGATTCAGCTCGTGGCTCAGGTGTTCCATTTTTCGTTTGACTAAGTTCAGATATATAACATTGAAGCACTTGACTCATGACTCATGGAGGCTGCAAAATCAATTATCGTAAATGTAATAATATGTAAACATATGACTCAACTCACATCTACTTGAAATGTCAGACACGACATACCAAATATTCTTCCAGAACACAAGCAACATGCCAAAATAATGCCAGTTTGCCTGATGTGATCACCATGAGCAGGCAACCACTGCTAAAATGCAGGATTTCCCACATGTAACGATGCTAGCCAGTACTGTGTTCAACTCAAGCTGAATCGTGAATCTGCTCATGAGTCAATCAAATTGGTGTGAGTTATAGGCTGCACCTGCTCACAAAAAAAATGCTGGTTTGGGTCATGACCTGAATCAAATTTGTCAAACAGTTCATGAACTGAGTCATGCCCAGCCGATGGTCCCAGAGGCACCAGCATGGTTATTCCTTGCTTGCCTCTGGACCAAGTACAAGCCCAATTGACAGCTCCAGGGGCACTCAAGCAGGAAGCCCCTCTTTGTTGGACCCTGCTGGTGGGGGCATTGTGGGTCACCTCACTCAGGGTCCTAGGGGTTCTAGGGGCCCTGACAGCACTGATAGCACCACAGCAACCTCAGTCGCTCAGGATGTATCCATCGATCAACATACTCAGGCTCAGGCTGGTGCTGGCTCCCCAGGTCCACAATGACTACATAATGCTCTTCAGTGCAGTGGTAGGCAAGGTCTGAAGGTGCTGTGCACCAATACAGACCAGGTCCTTAGTAAAAGAAATGATTTGTGTATGCTTATTTTTTTACCGTAGGCCAGATGCTGTTGATCGATGCCCTCCCCAAAGCCCAGAAGCTTCCTATTGCGCCACCTCTCCTATCGATTAGTTCCTTAGTA